AGCGGCCTTCCCTGATTATCCAGATCTGAAGTGAATAATTCTCAGCATAGCACTGGCCACTACTTGACATATTTTTCTTTCAAACAACTTGCTTGCATGTGTATATATCTGTTTTTCTTTATTAGAATGAAAACTTGAGTAGTACTGGGCTTTGTTCACCAGTTTATCCAAAGCTGAGAACAGTTCTCTTGCTTCATAACTATTTTTGTTTAAAGAACAGCAAAACATTACAGTGGGGCAATATGAGGTGAGGAAAGAATTTAAGAATGCCAAAAGCTACTGCAAGCATCTCATGGCCGGGCATTATGTTCCTAATTATGGTCACTGTTTACTAAATATCGACTAATGTGAAGCTTCAGGAAGTGAAGAAAAAAGCTTATAAGTAATGGAACAGTCCTCTACATAATTTGGAAGTCAGTTTAAATGTCAAATTAAGTCAAGGGGATCAAATTTGAGGTTCAGTTTGAGTTAGCATGGAGAAGTGATCTGTGGAGACCTTTTGGGGGGCTTCTTGAATTCACTCAGCTGGGGTTAAATCTCCAAGATGAGATGTCCTGAGTGACTGGTCTGCTAGTCACACACACTGGTTTCCCAGCAGTGTCCTTGTCTTCCCTTCCAAAGGGGTGGGGTCTTGCTGCTTCTTTACAAAAGAGCAGACAGCTATAGTATGGGAAAGATGAACTATGTCCTTAGGAATGAAAATAGTCTTTGTGCAAGAAACCAGGCTGAGAACTATGTAAGCATTAGGGGAACTCTGACTTTCATACACTGAGGTACTCTATCTGCGGAATGATTGGCAATACAGTTTTAAAAGTCTATGAGCTGATTAATCAGGAAAGCCAGAACAATTGGAAAAATGGGGAGATGCTTTTATTTCTCAGCTTGCCTTGGGGAATAAGAGCTGAAAGAAACACTGAGGCAGCATCTGTGCAGAAAGCAGGAAAGAGCTTCTGCGGAGGCCAAGGAGCTCAGCAGTGCCCCAGGAAACTGTCTCAGGGTGAAGAAGGTATGATTCTGAGGCTGAGCTAGGAGACTCAGGTTTTTCCAATCAAGCATCTAAGGGGGATATTTAACTGGATGGTCCTGAAGTTTGAAAAATTGGAATGTGATTATGAAAAGATCCCTTTTCAGGAGATTTTTGTTTTTTTGGCACTGTTGCTTCTGTCATGGCCAAAAGCGAGAAAAAAATCTTCAGATTATTTGAAGGCTCTAGGTTCTCATAAAAAATTTAATGTCAGTTTGATTCTACAAGCTGTAAAGACTTGGCTTGTGTAACTTGTTGGGTTAAGTAATATAGAGACCAAGCCTGCATCAGTCCATGAAAATGCTCAGCACAAAAGCCAGGAGGTCGTGGGCAGTTCTGAGCTCTAAGGATAGGAAAGGCAGAATATCAGCTCATGACGCTTCAGGCCTTCACCTAACACAGAATAGTCAGGACACTTTGTACTATTCTAAAAACTACCAAGAGAAGGACTTTAAGGAAAGACTATAATATCACAGCATGAAATCTTAAAAAAACTAATATTTAAGAAAAAGTCACCGTGAAAAGAATAGTAAAGAAAACCAGTGTTAAATTTCATTCTATTAAAAAATTGTTTCATATCATTTCTAAAACAAATGGTTGGTATAATTTTTTTGAAGAATTATCTCTACTTGATTTTTAAAATCAGTCAACAGTTGGAGTGAGGTTTGTGAGGGAAGGGAGCAATAGCCAAACAAGCTGTAATATCCAGGGTCTCGTATCCTAATAAAAAATAGAGAATGAACTAGGTGAAAATTTCCATTGAACAGTTACGCTTATTCCCAACAATCATAGCTCCTACTTCCTGGTACTCAAGTTAGGCATTGCAAATAGGTATGATCCTTTTCATTGATTTTAGTCTCGCTCATTTCATCTGGATTTGGGCCTTCGGTCCCCTCCGATGCTCATTTTCTCACCCCCACTTTGGTGTCTCTCAGTGTATCTGCTCGGGCTCAGACCCTGCTCACCACATTCTCTGCAGGATCAAACCTTCTCATCCCAGCTGGCTCTTCTGCTGCCCAGGATGGTTCTATTCTGCTTTGCCTGCCTCCTCCCGGCTTCCCCAGTGGCTGTTCCAGGCCTTCCTGCTCTCTGCCTGATGTCCAGTTTGCTTCTCTCTTCCAAGCAGGACATGTACAGCTTCTTCCTTGACCAAGATGACTCTTCTTCTTGTCACCTGCTGACTTCTCTGCGACTGTGGCAGGCATTGAGGGTGCCCTTTCCTCTTCATGTCAACTTCTCTACAAGCACGGAACCCTTTTAGGATTCTAGAAGTGAAGTCTCTCTGTTAAGCACTTTATAAAAACAGTGCTGTGGTTTGAATATTCCTTTACAGAACCACGGTGAAAGCTACTTGCCTTTTATGGTGTTAAGAGGTGGGCCTCTGCCCTCATAGGAGCAAAGCCATGGTTACAGAGCCAGCTGGTGAAGGCAAGAATGGGTTCCTGGTAAAAAGGATGAGTTTGGCTTCCTTTTTCTGTCCCATCCCTACTCTCTGCCCTCCCACCATGTCATAATGCAACACAGGGGCACTGCCCTGGTGCGGCCCATGCTCTTGGACCTCTTAGGCTCCAGAGCCATGTGTCAAATAGACTTCTCAGATTTGTAAATTACCCGGCCTGTAGTATTTGGTTATAGCAAAAGAGAAATGGACTGAGACAAGTACCATACATGTTTCCATTTCATCTTCACTTAATACATTTTTTACTGCCTCTAGCCTTAAGTTTGTTCCTGATGCACTGCAGAAATTGCTTTCCTATTGGTTTTCTTTTCAGTCTTGAACCACTTGGCAATATTTTTTCCCACTGAACATCTTAGGAATTCCCTCTTTTACGGTGCCTTTTGTGGCTTATCTGACTCTACATTCTTTTTCTATTTGAATGTAGAAATTCAACAAAAATTTTTATTCTCCAAAAACTCCTAATTGTATTATTTCTGATAATGACATTAACCAGTCTTCTAGAAGCCTGAACATTCATTCTGATTCAGCAAACAACTACTGTGTGCTTTACATGTGTTAGGCAACAGTTCCAGGCACTAGGATAAAAAAATAACCAAGATTAATGAGGTCCTTGCCTTCACAGAATTTATATTTTCAAGGAGGAAGACAGAAAATAGAATAATGAAATAAGACAACTTTTGCCAGAGAGAAGTGTTATCAAGAAAGTAAGGAGTGAATGAATATTTTGAGGGAGGGGGTTCGGCAGTAAGACAACTGAATTATGTAAGATGGTCAAGGAAACTACTTTGGGAGGGGAGATTTGAACTTAGACTGGAATAACAAAAAATACCAATTATGCAAATATTGAGGAAAGAACTTCTTGAACAAAAGGACCAAGAAGTGCCAAAGGTCTAATATGCATATACCTCTATGTTTCCTTTAGTCCTACTTTAACACACCACTAATTTCAAATACATGTCCAGCCATGCAGAGTGACAGTGATTTTGATCCCTCTTGAATCTGTTTGCTCCTGGTTTAAGCCTTCATTCCTTCTTGTTCTCCATTCTCTGTCCCAGGGCAGCCCTCACACACTATAGAATGACACTTCCTACAGTGAATCTCCACATCACACTCCCATTCCAAAGCCTCTGCTAACTCTCATTATTCATGGGAGCAGTATAAACTTGGAAGACTACATTCAAATCTCTTCGTCATATGCTGCTATGTGACTTGATCAAAAGATATGGTGAATATATAAACATATAAAAATGTATTACAGTAAAAGACAGATTGCCCTTAATCCTTCTCACAACACTCCCCCCCCCACACACTTTGAATACACTCATGCTATCATTCTTGCCACTTTCTGAAGCAACTATGGAAGTCCTCTTTTGTGAGTATCTTTGGCTGGACTCTCCTGGCTACCTCAGTGTCCTGAATTGATTCAGAATGTTTACCCTGCATGGTCACTTTGACTTTGGGAAAGAGCTAGGAGTTGCACAGTGCCAGACCCTGTGAACGAGGGGGATGAGGAGACACCATGTTTTTACAAGCCTGCCTTTCTGTCCCATGGCACTTGGCAGCAGCATTCACTGTATTTTTGATCGCATCTCATAAAACACTCATGAAAGAACCTCCAGAACTGCTTCAGAAAATGGCATAAGTATGTTCAAAGTGAGGAGGGATAATTTGAGAGTGTTAATGGCAACATGCTTTTACTGTAATAAATACTTTTAAAAATTTAACAATGACATATATTTTGATCACACCTCATATAACCTTATAATGCTTTTCGATTCTTGCATTTTGCTCTGCACAATTTACTGAAATTAGTGTCCAGAGCACACCTAAACATTCCTGCTTCCAAAGTTGCTTATTATGTCTCCACCATTCAGATTGATTCTCCCCTCACAGCTAATATGGGCCCTCTAGGTCCTGTTTCAAATCACCCTTTCCCTCTGAGACCCTTCAGATTTCTCGGTTTCGGTCTAGGAACAACTTTATTCCTTTGTGATGGCATTTGTCACATTTTGCCCTGGAACATGGTCATCATGCACACCTATCTTCCCTCTCCCCCTTACTGTATTACAGATGTGCTAAGACAGTGGCCACATGTTTCTGCCCTGGGCTAGTGTAGTGCCTTGAGCACAGTGGGCACTGGATAATACATGCTGAACAAATGACTGAATTTGTCAAATCTGAGTTTGATTAACTAATGTTTATTTCATGATATCCTGAGTGTTGTTCTCTTTTATCATTCCTCTTACTCATTTCTCATGAGACCTCTATATAAAAAGAGAAAATAAAGGGGAAATACAGAGTCCTTGTTTTGAAAGTCTAGTTAGTTTCAATCTGGCTAAATGATTAAAAGTTTATATTGAGGAACATTAAAACGACTGCATAATCAATACAATATGAGATAAATAACTCTTAGACAAATACTATTGATTAAATTCCTGCTCAGGATACATAAAATTTCATAATACTTTCCAAGGTTTAAAAATATACATTATTGCAATCAAAGAACCTCATACTTACAACATTACTGCATGTTCTATATCTGATATTTCTTCCTTCACAGCTCCTAGGTCACAAAAAGAAAAAAGAACTCTCATTACTACCCATGAAAGGCTCAAATTTTAAACTATTATAAGAAACAATTTTAAGTGGGTTCTTATAGTATATCTAAAGAAATTCCATATATAAATTCCTCTGTAAGGGTTACACTGAAACATTCATCCTGTTTCAAAAAATTTAAAAGAAGTATTACTATATGTTAAATTAAATAAATATTAGAGCAAGGCTTTCTGAAAAATATTTATGTTAAATGAATCCTGATTTCTTAATTATTTCTTAATTAATTATGTAAAACTGAAGAGATATTTCAGTGAAAAAAATCTTAAATTTTGAATATAGTAAAAATTGGACTTAATATTCAATATGTCTTCTAAGGATATGAAAGTTCACAATTCTTGAACAATTACTTTTATTTCTAAAATATATGTTCATTATAGAGGTTTTGAAAAAGACAGATTATCAAAAAGAAAACAAAGCCCCCTGTAGCTGTCTCAGGTAAAGATAATCAGTGTTATTTTGATTTACTTATCCCTTTCCCACATGGAGGTCCAGCAGACATCCACAGAGTTCTGGCTACATGCTGTGCAGTAAACTTACTTTGGAGAGTACAAAGACTAATGAATATGACTTGGTCTTTGCTATTAAGAAAATTAATCATAATTGTAATTCAGTATAAAAATACTACATGGTAATTGTGTTAGAGCTTGAGAATGTTGACCAAAAAATATCATCTGAAAACACAATCACACAATGGCTAATTTAGGCCTAAAGACTTGATTTTAATGGCTGGTCAGGCATTAGAATTACAGAAAAAAGAGAACAGACCAGAGAAAGATGGCTGTCAGCACCTAATCCAGCAAGACCCTGAACAAAAGATCAGTGAACTTTAAGTCCTTCATGTCCCATTGGAAAAGTTTCTCTATCTTGATAAGAGATGAGTCATGCTAACCTAGAGGAGTCTAAAAAATATTCCACTTCTGTGAGAAACATTCTTCATTATGCCATATCGTCCAAGCTGTTTGCCAAGAACAATCTGTATTTTCGTGGCTGTCAAGAGGCAAGTGCTGGACATGCTGATGGGAGCGTGTGGGTCCGTGTGATGGACGCTTCTATTCCTCGCTGTAAATCAATAACCCGGCGTCCTGACGTGAAACATCTGCCTCAGGGGCAGCTCCCTGTGAGCCTATCCCCCAAAGAAGAATCTGTTCTTTGAGTTATTGCTGAAAAATATCAAGTTTCTGAGTCTGAAAATATGAGTTAGGCTTCAGAGGCTGGTAAATGTACAAAGTATTGAATTCTGCAACTGTGAGGCCTTTGGTGGCATGCTGTAGAGACTCTGGTATTTGCTGAAGAGGACAGACCTGTCAGTTGTGAAGCTGCTGGAGGTTTGTCACTAGCACAGTGCAGTGGTTGAGAGCTCTCTTTGAAACCAAACTCCTTTGTTTGGACTCAGGACTCTACATCTCAGCTTGTATACCTCGGTCTTTTTTTTTTTACTTGCAAAATGGGACAATCTTTATTTCCTGAGATTATTATGAAGGTTAGGTCAATTAATAATTGTGAATTGCATCATACAGTGCCTGCACAGAGTAAGCATTATGTAAGCATCTGGTATGTCAGTTAAGTGCATAATAGATATAAAAATATAAATATCAAAATGAGTATAAGAAGATTTGGAGAAGAAACTCTAAGAAAGACATAGAGGCATAAAAAGATTTGGTATGTTTGTAAATATTTGAGCAGTTCTGTTTCTGTTGGAATTGGGGTTGACATGGGGAATCCAGTACAAATACCTTTCAGTTATGAATTTCATAATAGGCAAAGGGGAACCATGGAAGGTTTTAAACAGAAAAGATACCATGATTCTTGGTTTAAAAAAATGAAGCTGGTGTTAATCACTGAACAATGTTACTCTGTTTCCCACCTTCTTTCTATTTTTTTCTAAATTCATGTCCATGAAAAGATTAATGCAGAAATCCTGAATTATTAGTTTAAAGACCAGGGTTATAGCTTTTGCTCTTATCCACGAGCTTCTTGTCCTCCCACAGCACTAGTTCTCTTATCTGTCAAGTGGATACAGTTGTGATCCACAGCTGTAATATTGTCGGGAAGCTCTAGTCAATGACGAGTGATCATAGAGACATCGCTTACAAAGAAAGCAGAAAAATACCTCCTTCAGTAATTTAAATGAGTTTCCCCCAGATATTTTAAAATATAAATACTTCTGGAGATTCTACAAGTATCCTTGGAAATAGGAGATACAGAATATATAATGTAAAAGATTGATTTGAAAACTTCTTCTTTAGGAAAAACAAAACAAAACAAAAAAACAAGAAAAAATATTTGTTATATTTTCCAAAGTATACTCTCCAATTATCCAGCACATAATATTGATTTACAAATAATGTATGTTCCTAAACTATCTTCCCCTTACTATATCATATTATGTTTTAACTGACAGCTTAATTTGTCTGAAATCTGATATTAAAGTGGTAATGCTTAAGTTTGGCAGGGTGCTCATTATTGGAAGACATTATCAAACTGTGGATAATAACTGGAAATACTATTCTCTATATATACTCAGTGCCTGCTGTAAATCTTTGACCCACTGTTAGGATATTATCTCTAATCTTCCAAGAACTGCAAAGATTTCATATGCCCATTTAATAGATAAGAAAAAATGAGGACAAGAAAGAAAATGAGGCTCAAAGCTATACATACAGAAAAGAGAACACTAGGGATTTGGGATCTGGGTTTGATTAACTCCAATGTTTATAAAGCAATAAAAAAGAATAAGATTTGCTTGAGTGTAATGTACTAACATTAGACTGAAAATCTGGGAAGCTGAGCAAAGAGTTGGCCTAGGCTTCAACTGCATCTTATTGATACTATATCAATTTATCAGCTGCTTCTCAATTCTGGTAAATCTACTTCCAGTAAAGCAAAGCTAGTCACACACTGGAATATCTCCAAGAGAAACACACATCACTAAGACGTAATGTGAAAGGACTTCAGTGCAGAAAAACTCATCAAAAACATGAATCCATTACATTTGAAAATAAATTGTCCTTTAGTAGCAGAGTGTCTATTCCATTCCAAAGGTTTAACTGCTGCCAAGTGTGAATCTTTTCACCCAGGGCAGTTATAGGCCCAGGCACAAAAGCCACATCTGATAATTAATTAGTACTTTTGTCTCTCTTTCCTTCTTATTTTTAAAGTTTGTTAATGTGAAACAGCTGAGTGGGTTCTATCAATTTAAATAAATTAAAATCCACCTCTGGAGATGAAAAACATTAGAAACTGTAATCCCAGATAAGGGGTAAGTAAAGCTATAGACCACGGCACACAGGGCTGAAGTCCCAGGGTCTCCTCCATGCACACTGCAGGAGAGTCACAGGACTGTGCTGAGAGAGTCAAGTTCTGTATCAGTTACGGACTCAGAAGCTGGCTCAAGCCCAGAAGAACAAAATTCAAAAATTAGGAGATACTCCAATCTAGGTTTGTCCAGAAAATTCCTTATTTGTTTATTTCAATACTTCACTCCTAGCCAATCACTTCATTTGAACTTAATTTCTTTCCTCAAAAAATAAAAATCGTCTCAATAATAAGCTGTTATTTGTGAATTACTCAGACTTTAATTCACTTATAACGAGATTATTATAGACTTCAGGCATACTTTGTCTCTGGTTTACATATAACAAACCGTTGAGACTCTTCAAGTTTTTAAAACTCTGATTTTATCTTAATTACAATTATCGTAATTTAGTAATCTTAGAAGAAATGAATTGCTATGAAAACAAACTGTCTTTTCAGCCATTAGCAACTGGTTGACCTCTTCTTTCTTTATCCTCTCTGCTTATATTAAGTCCCTCAAAAAGGGAGGGGTATTTGATACATCTCTTTCACCTTAAAATTCCTCTATGCAGACAGATCCTCCCAGTGACATTGTCAGACTTGTACCTCGAGACAGAGAACACTTCCAAGATCTGGTAACTGGGCCCTGAAGGACAGCTGCACTGGCTTGAGGGTCCTGAAACCCAGGCTTTGCCTGCTACTTCCAAACAGCCAAGATGCTGCTAAGGAGAGTCAGGTTACTTTACTTCCCTGAATACCAACTGCCTCAAAATGTGGACTCACAGGCAAAGCGCTTTAAAATAGAACAAGCCAGTCTACTTACATATCTCTTCTTTCAGTTATTCAAAAGGAAACTATAGGCTGTTTTTAAGAGAATAGACATAAAACCATGTCAGCATTCATGACTGAGGGACCCTGAGCCACCCGGACTGTGGAGCTGGAATGACTATGGTCACACAATCCGCACAGATGTGTGGTCTCCTAGCTCTGGATCATTGTTCCTTCTTCACTCCAGCCAGTCCTGCAGCCCCCACTGGAGCTCTACACCAGGAGGTTTCTTTCCGAGAAGCCAGTTAAAATACTTCCACACTTTGGAGGTTTTTATGGAGCCCTCACAAGGATGACATTTTGGGAACATCTGAGAGACAGGTGCGTGTGTGCTGCCAGCCCCTTTTCATTTGCTGCAGACACTTCACTGTAAGAGGGTTCTTCAGGGACAACACTCGATACAAATGACTGAGCCATTAAAAAGAAAGTCATATAAACCTCCTGACCCTGTGTGCAAAGTCATCCTCAGAAGTTCACTGTCGTTATCCATGGTTCAAGCTGAGTGCAGAAAACCTGGCAGAAACCGGAGTTTGGGGGTGACAGATGGGGGATGCGGAATCATTGTCTGGCAAAGAAAGCAGAATCCAGCGATGTGCCACCCCCGTGTGGCTTCCACAGGAAGTCGTATTCTAATCCTTTCCTTAACTCTGTTTAATAACTTTTGTGCTTAAAAAGTCATTCCCTTCATGCTGTGTGTTTTTAACTTCATATTTAAAATAGTTAACAATTAATTGTGATTTATGCATGCTAAAAATCGTGTTTATGTGGAAACATTATTTGGAGGGAGCTTGGTCCCAACAAGAGGAGTCATCAATTCAGTACTGT